CGAGTTGTCGAACACCGAAGGTGTATTGGACAGGAGTCCGGAGCATGGCTCGCAGGATGAAATTGTGGACAGTTTAATGAGTCTTAGCCGCAATTTGGTGCATGCGTTGGCGGACTAGCTATGTTAAATTGAAACTTTGCCCATTTTCATTTACTTACGTACTCCACCTGCTACTGGCATCGGCATTTTTGCTTTGAGCATACTCTCAGCCTTTAGCGCTGCAAACTAGGGGTATGACACTCAATCGTATTAAGATAAAGCCCGTAATTTGCGATAGATCATCTTGGTGTGGCTCGTAAACCACTGAGCGCTTCTCAACAATCGAAGCAGCTGCTGCATAACATGCGTGGCATGGTCTGCCAAAGACCGAGGCATCGAGGGCGAGGTCCCAGTGATGCACGTGAAGTGTCACGTAATATACTGAGCACTGCTCATGCTTTGAAGCAGTCGCTGTATGCCACGCATCGTCGGACGAGGTCCGAGACCCTTCATATGGGCTTGGAATGGCACGTTATCCACTGGACAAAGAGCGTGGAGCTAGCAAGTCTTCTTCGGATGTTGTTAATAACATCAGGGCCGGTAGAGCAGGAAGTGGGGCTAACACTGGACGATGCTGAGTGCGTGTTCCTACTGGTCTCGCCGCGACGTACAACCTCTGTGGAGAGGCGACGGCGACGCCGTATGTTATCTGCAAGACGCTGGGCGTCGACCCTAACCCAGGATGTGTCTACCGTAGTCGATAGCGCACAGCTATACAACCTCGTCAACGGTATGACGGGGGAAAAAGACGGCGACTACATCCTTGAGGCTATTCCAGCGGTGGATGCTCTTCTTGTGCTGGACAAGATGTCCCTCGAAGAGTTCGAAAAGTTCGGCGGTGCCTTGAAGGCAGGCGACTTGGCTGAAGTGGTCATTATACGACCGCAAGAGGAGATCAACTTGTCGTCGCTTTAGGATGAAGCTGTCTTGGAAAACACCAAGAGGTTACTGAACGAACGAAGTGGATCGTCAATCCCGAAAGAACCCTCGGATCCGTACTTTCCCTTGGTAAAAGAATTTTAAGACGTCGTGCAGCGGGGCTGCCTTAGCTCTTTGCTTAGAGGGAGCTAAGCTAAGGTACCGAACTTACGTTCTATACAAGAACCAGTACCAGTGTAGCGGCGGTAAGGACGCTCTTCCGTTTAAATTTTAACTGTATTGACTGTTTTATTTGCGACAGAGCCGCCTATATTGAAAACTTCGGTTTTTTTATTCAAAAAGTCGAACAAATCTACCGACAGTCCTACCACGTAGTGGCTTCTTGTTACGGTGTAGCCACACCATTGCGTAATTACACGAACTTGTGTGATCCACAACTTTGTACGGTCACACAATCTTGTGTGACCCGCCGTCGGTCCTACCTTCGGACCAAGGTGTGCGTCATGAGATCGATCTGGTTCGTGAATCAAATAATGCGTAGCACGCCAATGGTGTCTGGCCAAGGACCAGTGTGACGTCACTAACGCCTTCTTCTGTGTGAACGACGGCGCAGGAACGGTGCGTGAGAGCAAGTCACTCCTTTCGACAACCATGTTTTGTGTCCGAAAGCCGAACGGCAAATGGCGTATCGTTCACGCTTACAATAAGCTCAACGCTGCGACCATTCTGGCACAGACGCCGATTCCTAGGAAAAATTTTCTCCATAACAACATCGTCGAATGTACAAAGTACAGTGGTCGACTTGGTCGATGAATATTACCAATTGCTCATGAGAGCGAGTGATATTCCACTGACAGCGGTGAGTACTCCAAGCGGCATGCTCTTGGAGTGGCTGGTGATGCCACAAGGGCTATCAAACGCACCAGCAACATGTAATCGTCTTGTGACGCAGTTGTTCAGGCCCCATCGGGCGTATGCACAGGCATACTTCGACGGCATCTTCTTGCAGAGCACAGAAGGACAGATTAAGAGAAACAGATCGTCCATTTAGAGCGATGTACGAGTGTATGAGCACGAATAAATTGTGTGCTAATGCAGACAAGGGAATCTTTGGCGCAGAAGACAAGCGAATCTTTGGCGCAGAAGAGATTCCTCTTTTAGAGTGATTTCATCGAGAATTGTGGCCTTCGAGCGGATCCCGCTAAGGTCAACGCCATTGTGGACTAGCCGGTTCCAAAGAATCAAAAAGACTTGCGCAAGTGGCTTGGCCTCACCATCTACTTGAACAAGCACAGCGAGAACTGCGCAGAAATGGCACGACCATTGTCAATTCTCCTTGCGATGGATGCGATATGGTGTTGGGACACCGAATATTGGGAGGATTTTGCCGGGGTTAAAGACAGCCTCCTTCAGGCACCAATACTGGCATTTCCAGACCCCAAATTGTCCTTTCAGTGTCGTCTGGGATGATTCGGACTTTGCCGTCGGCTGTGCAATGCTGCAAGCATACGCCGAGGGGTGGGGTCGGGTGATCGCGTTCGAATCTCGCCAGCATAACTCTGCGGAGAGGAACTACCCAGTCCACGACAAGGAATTACTTGCGATGAAGTATGCACTTGTCAAGTTCA